ATAGAAACATCAATGATGAGAGAGAATCATTGATCGGCTGCCTCCTATATGCCCTCCGCTGGGGATCAAGCCTGCAACCCGGGCATGTGCCCTTGACCAGAATCGAACCTGGGACCCTTCAGTCTGCAGGCTGACACTCTATCCACTGAGCCAAACCAGCTAGGGCTAGAGTGTATTGTTTTGATACATGAAGAAAACATTGGCTAAAAGCCTTGCCCTAACCGATATGGCTCAGTGGATAGAGCGTCAGCCTGAGGACTCAAGGGTCCCAGGTTCAATTCTGGTCAAGGGCATGTACCTTGGTTGTGGACACATACCCAGTAGGGGGTGTGCAGGAGGCAGTTGATTGATGTTTCTCTCTCATCAATGTTTCTAACTCTCTATCCCTCTCCCTTCCTCTCTGTAAAAAACCAATAAAATATATATATATTTTTAAAAAGCCTAGTACTACGTAGCAGATGCTACACAGACAGAAGAAAACCTACACTTGTGTTTTTCTCCTTTTAAACCCGGCCGTAAGCATCTCCCTGCACTCAATGCTTCCATTCCTCTCCCACCTAATGAGAGGTTTTATATGTCTATCATCACAATTCAAATATAATTGGAAAATAATTCACACTTAGGAAATAATGCCTGTTTAGAAAGTAATTCACGTTCAGAAAATAACCCGTTCCTTGTTTATTTTAAAATAAGCATCTAGAAGTTTCTCCCTTGAAGATGATGCTGGAGACACCCAAACACATCTGGGACCAGGGTGTCTTCTTTGCAGGCAGACGTGAGCCTCCTGGGTGACGGAATGTTTAGGAGCCTCCAGAGAAAGTACTGCCCAGGCGCCAGTTCCACGTGCTGAGGCTTGGTCTCTTTCACATTCAATTATCTGACATTTTCACATGGAAAAAAACTATTAAATATATTTCTCCACTGGACTAATCTATGCCCAAATCATAAAGATACTACCTATTCCTTGAAAGTGAACTGGCACGTAGGTCAAAACTTTCCATCCACCCTAAGTGCTTTATTTCTCTCTAGCAGTTACAAATCATCTCAAAATTACCAATTTCCTGTTGGAACAAGTTAGGGGGGGAAATCAGAACAAGGAAAAACTATTAATGGTACAAAAGCAGGGGGCGGGGGAGGGAGGGGAAGCAATGGAAATAAGAACAAATAGGTTGAAAATGGAACTAGAGAATTAACTGAAAATTTAGATGGAGTGACCCATCCCAAAGTGGACAGGAGGCGCACACACCGTCTGAAGGGTGTGTGGAAGGGATGAATGTCAACCACAAAGGTCAAAGGCCAAGGACACAGACAGTGTACTGGCATTCGCACCACTGCTGAGGGAGCCGATAGCTGGCCAATGAGATTAAAAATATTGCCAGACACTGTACGTGAGCCCTGAGAGTTCAGGAAGGTAGAAACTCAATGGGGAGAGCTGCTACGCGTGCATCCCAGTAAAACTGCGTCATGGTGAGGTTACCAGAAAAGCAGGGGCTGTTTATGGGGCAGGGCACACGACTGGACGTTAAAGCGCCTTTAGAACGAGCACTGGTGTTCTTTTTAAAAGGCTATTACGTACTTTTGGAAAATTGAGTATTTTTTAAAGCGTACTTCACTGATTTTTCTCTAGATTTACTGGCCTACACGTAATTTAAACAAATATGAAATGCAGCCGTAACCGGTTTGGCTCAGTGGATAGAGCGTCGGCCTGCGGACTGAAGGGTCCCAGGTTCAATTCCGGTCAAGGGCATGTCCCTTGGTTGCGGGCACATCTCCAGTCTGCCTGGCTTTGCAGTGGTGCCAGCTTACATGCACACAGCCTGCATGCTACGAAGACCCTCCACGCACTTTATGCAGCTCTGAAGGTGCTTCATGATGTCGCTCCCACTCTACCAGGGAGAGAGGGGAGGTGGCAGAGGCTGGCTCCCTGTGATTGGGGAGCCGGTGGCAGTAGGTACTCTGAAACGTCACTCCACCCCCTCTGTGGTGCAGAAACGTCTCACCGTCTCCAGCACAGTCTGAATATTCCCAAATCTTCCCTACGTGTATAACAAATGCAAATAAAACACAGGGGCAAAACAGCTTCCAGAGCTTCGGCACATCCTCAGGACTCTTTTACACCGTGTCCTGGTAAAATTACGAGAAGAGAAAAAAATGCCATACCTGCTTTACCTCCCCAATATGGGTGTGAACTTTTTGCTTCTCTTCATATAAACATCTCAGGAAAGAAATAACCAATTCATTCTCTCGCTGCTCATTTCTTGGTCTTAATTTCTTAAAAAAAAGAAAAAGAAAAAGAAGAAGATATTACATTTATTTTTTATTGTCAACAAAACTGCTTAAATCATTCCTTTGGAAATGCTAACTAACCGTGTCCTTCCATTCATTAATTAGTGTTTTACCCAATCACCTCACTAGGGGGCACCAATGATCCCAAAAAGGGAGATTATTTTTTAAAAGAAACAGTGGAACTAGCTGGTGGGCCAGAATTAGCTCTTGACCTCTGATGTCCTTATGCCTAAAATAAATATTTCACATCAGATAGAGGCATAGTCAAAATATTTAATAAACAAATAGTCTTGAAAACAGAAGAAAAGAACAAAATCTGTGTAAACACCCAGAGGTCAAGAGCCATCGTGGCTACACATTTATAAACTCTGATGGTTAGTGAAATAGAAAGAAAAAGAGCGACTGGGCCCAGGGTCATGGTTCTATATGTCACATGTGTTCGTCAGCAAGCACTTTCTGCCACAAGGCATGAACTCGCACACAAAATGTCATGGCACTGACTCCATTTTTTTTCTATTTAAAAAATTCTCTCCACATCCTTTACTTTTCAGGCAGCGTAATGGCAAAGCACAGGGGAGTAGGAATGAGGACCTGGAGGCCCGAGGTGCTGCCTGGAAGTGTGATCAAAGGCGTAGTTTAACTTAGCTTTCTCGTCCGTTCAAATGAAGCTGGTGCACGAGACACACTAACGGTCTCCTCCAGCCCCCACAGTCTTTGGATTTGAAATTACCAGTCAGAGTTCATTTTTAAAAGACCATCCAACTTAATGGTTTCTTTTCACTGAACATGAAGAAAACAAAGCTGAATTGCTCTGGAGATACACAAAACGTCTAGTCTATAAACTTCGGAAATGCATCTTTTTTAGATGGACAATTATCCATTGTCCAGCTCCTGGACCTCTCTCCCTACTCCAAACTTCTAGCCTGCCCTTTGAAACAAAGTCGGGGTGCGATAAATGGACCCACTCTACAAGCATCTGAGTCTGGGTCGATGCTACTCTTAGCAACCTCCTCCCCCAGCTAATGAAGGAACAATGATTTCACCCTTCATGCCATGGGCTTTAGAAGGAAAGGCAACACTAACCTAGACCTTCTGACATTCACTCTCTTAAAGAAAAAGGTCACTTTAAAAAAGAAGTTGTTCCTGTTACTCAAGGAAAATACAGTGAATAAGTAGAAGGGTTTTTTTAAATAATTATTATTGAGGACCTTCTGTTCTTTCAAATTTCACATTTAAGGATTAAATATTTTAGAAGCTAGAACAGATGCTCCCCACCTGGATTCCAAGCCATGAACCTTGATGTTATAAAACTATACACGTTTTATTCAACAAGTGGAATTCTCCAGGGGAAGGTCCCATCAGATCTTCAGTAAAGGAAAGTGGTGGTGAGGACCACAATCCCAACTGAGCCCTGCTGACTCAGGGAGGTAATGCGTATCTGTGAGTTTAAAAGCCCAGGAAGCTATAGCAACTCATTCACTTTCAGTGGGAGTGGAAATGGCACACCCACTTTGGGAGACAGCTGGCAGCTTTTTACAAAACTAAACACACTCTCATCATACAATCGAGCGATTGCACTGCTTAGAATTTTCCCCAATGAGTTGAAAATTTATGTCCACACAAAAACCTGCATATAAATGTTTACAGCAGATTTATAACAGCCAGAAGTTATAAGCAACCCAGATGTCTTCCTTCAGTGGATGAATGGATAAACTGTTCCATTCCAGACGATGGAATATTATTCAGCACTAAAAAGAAAAGAGCTATCAAGCCATGAAAAGACCTACGGGAACCTTAAATGCATATTGTTAAGTGAAAGAAGCCAATCTGAAAAGACTATATTCTGTATGATTCCAACTATATGAAAAGGTGGAAAAGACACGAAACCAGAGACAGTAAAAAGATCAGTGGGTGCCTGGGGTTTGGAGGACTGGAGATGCGGGGAGGAGGAGAGGAGGGACAGGCAAAATGCATCGGAATTTTAGGACAGTGAAACAGTTCTGGATGATACCATAACCGTGTACACACATCTTTATACATCTGTCAAACCTACAGGATGTACCGCACCGAGAGGGAACCCCGGTAAACTGTGGACTTTAGTGAATAACAATGCATCATCAATGGTAACAAATGTACCTCACTTAGGCCACGTTATTAACAGGGGAAACCGGCTGGGGTGGCAGGCACAGAGGTGGGAGCTTACATGGGAACACTCTGTACTTTGCACCCAATTTACTGAAAAACTAAAACCACTCTAAAGAATAAAGTCCATTTTATTTTTTTAAAGTTCAGAAAAGAGGAGCAGAAAGGAATTACACGAGGCCCCTCAGCAGACGCAGGCAGCGAGAGCTGACCCACTCTTTCTTCTCTTGCATCTTTCAATGCAAACTTCCGGCTACTCTCACAAGAAAATGTGTATTTTTCTTGGAGAAATTCTTCATAATCATTATTTCAAAATATAAAAAAAGGCTAAGAATGCAGGAATAAAGAGCATTGTGGATGCATTTTCTTTTCCTCAAAGGCTACATGCAAGGAACTATTCAGAAGGCCAGAAAGGAGAGCTCAGCTGAGCACAATTGCTGCACGTTAAAAGCTGAAGCCGAGAACTAGAGGCCGCGTCACGGGCTCGTTAAACATCACAGAAAAGTCACCAGAGCAGGAAGCATGTTTTCATGGTGGCGTACAAGGTCAAGAATACACCCTTCCTTAAAACAACATGGGTAGGGGCTACCATTCCACTGAGTTAAATGATCAGCAAGGTGTCTTCTCCCCCTACCTCCCACGTGACGTCACCATCCTCCCTCGTGGCAAATCGTTGTTTCCTAAAGGTGGTTTCATTGTATAGACATTCATGGGTCAGAGAGACAAGTCAGAGGAGGAGAACAGCGCGGAACCAAGCTGGGTCACATCACTTCTCAGTCAAAAATTAACTTGCTTGTTCAAAATTAATCTACGGTGTCAGGAGCCGGGGCAGGGTTCTGAGGAGTTGGCAATGCTCCTGCTTTTTTAAAATCTCGGTGCCAGTGCACAGGTGGGTCAACTTGTAAGAAATCCCCTGAACTACACACCACTGGCTTGTGCACTTTCCTCCAGTTATGTTATACTGCAATGTTTACAACAACAACAAGAAAACAATGAACTGCCTGTTAAGTAACAAAGTCAACTTTGTTACCTGTGTCTTAACCTTATTTCTATGAGGAGCCTACAAACTGGTGGTAAATGCAATTAAAGATAAATTCTCAGCGCTGACTGAGAACGTTGAGTGCTCCGGGCGCCTGCAGTCTTTGGAGCCAATGTCTAAAAACAGCCGCGCCCACCGGGACAGGACGCTCTGACACCTTTTTTAAAAATGGCAATCAAGTCCTATAAGAAATCATTTTAAGACCGTAGGAAATCCAAAGAAGGTGATCCATTTTCTTTACAAAATGAAACACAACTCTTCTACCCATTGGTCTTTAACTGGTGAAAAGCCGTGTTACTTAGCCCATCATGGACACCTACTGAATGTACATCCACTTGATTTGTCTACTCAGGACGAGTGCAGTCATCCCCTGAAACACGGGCACTCAGATGAAGGGAGTTGGATCTGGAGACATTTCCTTCCCTCGCCCTCCCTGGGCCTCAACGCAGTTTCTCAGACTCAGAGGGCCAGCCTGGACACGGCACCTCCGCCAGCAGGCGGCCGCTTGAGACGCCAGCAAGACCCTGGGAGTCACTGTCACGCCTGCCCAGTTGGATATGTTCGATGTATTTCTTTAGTGATTACTGTGCCACTTCACTCAATACTACACATTTCAAACAGACCACAGACAGAAATGTGGCTGGCTGTGCAGTGTCGTCAGGAGTCCTCCTAGAGCAGTGATGGCGAACCTATGACACGCGTGTCAGAGGTGACACGCGAACTACTCATTTTGGTTGATTTTTTTTCTTAAATGGCATTTAA